CACCCCCACCCCCATCCCTTTGCTCACTCCCCCCCTCATGCTGGCCCCCTCTTGTTTTCCTAAACAGTTTTGCCCTTACTTCCATGTCGAATGTACATACGTGGTTTTCCATACCTATTGAAAGTCTAGGAACCAAAAATGAGAGAAAACACAAAACATTTGTCTGTTTGGAGAATGATTTCATTTGTTCAATATTATTTCCAGTTGCACTCATTTTCCTGCAAATAACTTTATTCTTCTTTATTGATGAAAAACATTCCATTGTGTATATGTACCTTTTTGTTTTTTTGTTTTTTGTTTTTTAACAAAAGGGTCTCACTACGTAGCCCTGGCTGGCCTGGAACTCCCGATGTAGATCACATTGGCCTTGAACTCACTGAGATCTGCCTCTGCCTCCAGGGTGCTGGGATATAGGTGTGCGCCACCACACCCAGTCTTACCACAGTGTCTCTGTCCACTCCTGTGCTGCTGGAACCAACGTGCATTGGGTTCCGTGACTTAGCAACTGTGAGTTGGGCTGCGTTCGCCACTGAGGTATAAGTACCTCAGTGGTATGTTGACTTGGAGTTCTTTGGATGAATATCCAGAAGTGGTATAGTTGGGTAACATGGTAGATCTACTTTAACTTTGTGTGGACCCTCCGTAGTGATTTCCCTACTGGCCTGACTGGTTTACATCCCCACCAGCAGTATATGTGGATCTTTTTTTAACCATATTCTCATCATTTATTGCCTATTTATTTATTTGTTTTTCTTCTTCTTACTGTTATTATTATTACTTTAGTTTTTAGCTTTTTGAGGCAGAGTCTCACTATGTAGCCCTGGCTGTCTTGGAACTTGCTCTGTAGACCGGGCTGGCCTGGAACTCACAGAGATCTGCCTTCCTCTTCCCCCACTGTTGGTTTTCTTAATGACTGTCATTCTGAATAGAGTGAGATGGACTCCTAACGCAGTCTCACTTTACATTTCTCTGATGGCTAGTGAAGTTAAGCATGTTTCATGTGTTTACTGTGCATTTGTCTGTTGAGAAAGCTTTGTTCATTTGCCAATTTATTGACTGGGTGTTTGATTTCTTCTTCTTTCACTGAGTTCTTGGAATACTTTAGATATTAATCCTCTGTCTATACAGCTAGCAAAGATCTTCCCTCCTTCTCAGTGTCTTTAAGAGGATCATTAAAGCCTGTCTAATCCCCATTTCAACAGAAGCTTTCTTTTACCAATTCTTAGGATCAGAAAGATGCAAATTCCTACCCAGGTTTAGGCAAGACTCCTTACCCCCAGGCTCTGGGGGTTCCAACAGTGTCTGGCCTCTGCCAGGAACCTAGAGAACCACTCCAGTGTGTTTGTGCTGCTGTTTTGAGGGAATCTGTCCTGTGACAGTCAGGAGTTTGTCTATTTGGGGCCTCTGAGAAGCTCTATGAATGGTCAAGTTCCCTGGCCTTGCAGAGAGTCGTTACACACAAAATTGATAAAAGCGCACTTAGAGTGTTCACGGTTGGCCCATGGAGTTCAGAGAGATTTCCCCGAAGGTCACCTGACCTGTGCTTGACTCTCATAGAACTTTGCACGTGTTGTATTTGTAACCCACCCCTACTCAACCTTGGATCAGCTCCTGCTTGTGAGAATGAAACCCTTAACGCATGTAAAAGCCTGTAGTCCGGGGGCTGGCCGCCAGTGAGTACTTTATAAATAGCGCTCCCGTTGTTAGTATAGGCACGCTCCCTTCATTACTGCCTCTCCCACAAATCTGTGCTCCACTCCCACAGTCACTGCCTGGCCATATCTGCTCAGGTTCCTTCTCCTCTTGTAATGCTGGCTCCTTGCCACTTGTCACTCAGCCAGACTCACTCTGTAAGGTGAAGTATGTAAGTCCTCGCCGCCGTGTCCCTTCATGATGGGAAAACAATGTCTGGCAGTTGTATTCTTCCCAGAAGTAATGTGACCACAAGGAGATATTGCGGATAAATTAGCTGAAGCTCCTGGGTGTAATGGTGAATCAAAGTCCTATTAATACCTAACTAAACATCCAAGAGGACAAGAAAACAAAGGGCAGTTGAGGCAAAGCCTTGATGTGTTACAAGTTATTATTAGAACAAGAGGCCAATTGTCAGCCAGATGTAAGGTAGAAACTCTTCCCTTGAGAGAGTTGTGTCTCAGAAGGGCTTCCCACTTGCTCTCACAAAGAGCCTTTATCACGGGCAACAGGAGTGTCCATGTTTAGTCTTAAAACGACAACAACAGACCAGCCTTTCTCATCGGCATTGCTGAGAACTGAATCTTTTGCCTTGACTCAGGATGAGGAAAAGAGGCTAGCGGAGTGTCTGTGTGCCTGAGAAGGCACTCCATTCATAACCTATAAGTTTGGGCCGGCGGTGGTGGCACACGCCTTTAATCCCAGGCGGATCTCTGTGAGTTTGAGGCCAGGCTGGTCTACAGAGTGAGATCCAGGACAACCAGGGCTACACAGAGAAACCTGTCTCGAAAAAACAAACAAACAAAAAACCCAAACCCCCAAACAAGCAAACAAAAAAACCCCCAAAACAAACAAACAAAAAGTGTCTAAGTGTTCTTACTCTCTTGTTGAGGCATGGTCTATAAGAACAATTACGATGTTCTCAGAATCACAGAGTTTCTGAGTGTGTGTGTGTGTATATATGTACATGTTTGTGTGTGTGTGTGTATGTACATGTTTGTGTGTGTGTATGTACATGTTTGTGTGTATGTACATGTTTGTGTGTGTATGTACATGTTTGTGTGTGTGTATGTACATGTTTGTGTGTGTGCACATGTGCAAGCCATCTTCCTCTATCCGTCTCCACCCCCTCCCCCCTTTTATAAAAGTGTTTTGGAGACAGGTCTGTCTCTGAACCTGAAGGTTGCTGATTTGGTGAGACTTGCTGGCCAATAAGCTCTCAGCATCTTCCAGTCTCCACCTGTGTTGGCTCCCCCCAGCACTGGGGTCACAGATGCCCATTTCCACACCTGCTTTTTACCGGAGACCCTGGGGATCTGAACTCTGGTTTTTCTGTTTGTACAGCAAGCACTTGACCAACTGAACAAGCTCCCTGCCATAGGTTGTCTGATTCTTGCATTACTTTAGTGGTTGAAACA